AAGGTTCAAATTTCGACGGTGAGCAGTGAACACTATTACTGCTTAGCTAAAAGAAATCACGTTTCCGAGACTTAAGTAGGATTGGTCAAAAAGATGGCGCACTGGTCCCTTTAACTAGCAAGGTAACATTGGCTCACGGGCAACTTTTTAACAAGGATATTGGAAACTGCAACCGTCACGATTGTTAATATTAAACCTTTAGTCATATTTGTTTTTAACTGTGGCTCTATGAATGTTCTACAACAACAACAAAATAATACAGTTTGAAGAACAAGGACCATAGATTGTATTCATGTAATTACTGATATTTCTGACGTTCAATAAAGTGCATTCAAGAGTGATAAACAATTCTATGAGAAGAAAATCATCCACAACACGACAATAACGAATTGAAAATTAAAAAAAAACCCGTCTATTTGGGACCATTTGAGATTTTACCCAAATGCAATGATCACTTATCAAAAGCACACTTAAACTAAATATAATCTTGTTTTAGGATTGGTATAACAAATAAGATAAACAGATTTACCTTTCACAGACTTAAATAAAACAATACGTGGGAGTTAGAAACTGACAATTTGATGGAATTATCAAGTTATCTCAGAAAGGTTACATTGTCTGCTGGGAATTAACTTATAAATACATGTATATAGGTCTGTGCAAGTCTGTGGTTTGAAGGGTTTACATTAATATGACAACTTAACTCTGCTTCTGTTATTGATATAGCTATTAATGCATTAAATACTGTCGTTGTTATTAATGTTGTATAATCATAAATCAGTTTCGTATCTCGGAAAAAAAATAGTGTGGATCGTTTCTAACCAAAGAACATATAGAAGGACAAATCTAGCTATAATCAAAATTAGAACACAAATTGTTATTTTGGGTCGGTCTCCATTGTAATTTCAAGAGATTTATACCAAGGTGCTGTTTTATTTCGATTTTGATTTTAATTAGATATATATTTATATTAGGCTATCATTCCTCGGACGTGATATACGGATGGAATATCGGCCTTAACGTGCGTAAATCCCACTTGTATATCACATCTGATGAACATGTTAGTCCAGTTTGTAGTGCTAGGAAACTTGTTGGTTAAATTCCCATACACATTACGCGAACATGATATACGTACGGGATATCGGCCTTAACGTGCGTAAATCCCACTTGTATATCACATCTGATGAACATGTTGGTCCAGTTTGTAGTGCTAGGAAACATGTTGGTTAAATTCCCATACCCATTCCGCGGACGTGATATACGTACGGGATATCGGCCTTAACGTGCGTAAATCCCACAAGTAAATCACTTCGGAGGAAAGTGTTTGTCAAGTTTTCAGTGCTAAGAAACATGTTGGCTAAATTCTATGTGAAATTCATTAAATGTTAGGGTAGAAAAAGGGGGGACAAATTGCTTCAGTTTCAAAACTATGCTGGTGAAAATATCCCACTTTTTCTATCTGAAACATGAAAGGATCACGAAGTAGTAGTTTCATTTCATATTTTATCAAATACCATTTAACGCAATCCACCAGAAAATAACAAAATCAGATTCACAATTACAAGGTTCTTGAATTGTTCTGAAGGACATAAAACTGTAAGCTGAACAGAATTCATCATTTTAATGACATTCAGAAGAGCATGATCAATAAGGCTATTAAAGAAAATTTATTGACTTACGCCAACCTAACTTTTCCTTAATTAGATGTCAAGTAAAAATAAAATGACATAAAATATGTTTTGTACTCATTGACGTTAATCATAAGATCGCAAAACGGCCTTGCTATTCATTTTTTGCTCTATTCCATTTTGGTTAAAAACAGAAGCAAATTCTGTTATGTAAAATTTATAATCTGCAGTAATTCAATAACAATAATAAAATATTTCCACTGTTAAAATAATGCTCAATGCATCAATGTAGAGCGATATAGAAATATCAAAACAGAATTTCAAAAAAGACAAAAATGGTAGTAACAACATGTTTTTTTTTTTGGTTCTGTTTTAATATTTCTAAGAAATTGTGCTACAAAAACAAAATATTTGCTCTTTACATCAATTGTATAGTTATATAAAAATATTAAATCAGAACCTAAAGAGGGTAGTACAACAGTTTTTTAAGGTTCTGTTTGAATATTTCTAATAAATATGCTACAATAACAGTGAATATATTTTCACTGTAAAAATAATGCTCAAAACATCAATTGTAGAGTAACATAGAAATATTAAAACAGAACCTTAAAAAGGTAGTTTTAGGTTCTGTTTTAATATTTCTAACACTTATGCTACAATGACAAATTATTTTCACTGTTAAAATAGTGCTCAATATATCAATTATTATAGAGCGATATTGACATATGAAAACAGAACCTGAAACATGTGGTTACTCAAAGTTTCTAAACAAAACAGAAACTCTGAGTAACAACATGTTTCAGGTTCTGTTGTAATATTTTTATATTGCTAATACTTACACTATGGGGAAGCGCAGAAACGCAATCCCGCACAGTGCAAACACTGACCAACCATTATAAGTTTTGATTGTTACTGGGACAGGTGTTGGGGTTGATTTTTCTCTTGAAAAATTCGAGTCGTCATTTTAACATTCAAACGCAAATAATTCTGGACACTATTACTGTATGATTGGTCAAAAAATGGCGAATCTATCCTTTTAACTCCCGGTTCTCAAACTGGGGTGTTTTCACTAGGGTGGGGGTGTGGCCAACTGGCGTAGGAGAATAATTTGTTTTGAATTTGAGAGCACCTCACAGCATCACATGCTGAAAATGTGGATGAAACAATTTTCTTTTGGGGTGTGAAACGGACATGTGATTGCTCCAGGGCTGAGAAAGGTTGGGAACCACTGCTTTAACTACAAGGTATCTTTCATGATGCCGTTATTAATTTTGTTCAAATGATTTCACGATAAGAAACAATTCGCAGTGGGACCCACAACTACAATGCATAATTACTGTTTTCATTATGTATAAAATGGTCGAGAGATCGTACAGTTTTTCCTTTCAATGAAGCTCAGAAGAGCAACTGATTTTCTCTACAAATAGGTTCATTTGACTTCATTGTTAAAATATTTATTCTTAGTTTGCTATTTACAGAGACATTGTTAGAAAATCCCTTCGAGGATTGACGCCAGACGTAATCAAAGTTTTCTTACTAACAAAGGATTGTCAGTTCAAATTTGTTATAGATTCTTGCTGAAAGTTTTAAGAGAAATCTACCAACTATTTAAAAATAAGGAAACAACTACATTTTACACGGATAATAACATGGGTTCACAATGATCCTTTATATCAGCTGGTCCTTTGCCAATCCTCTTGGCATTGATCGGGGTAATCGTGCCCATTTACAGCTGGGTAGACCGGAATAATGAGTGAAGGTGGCTTTGTAATCCAGAGTTTCGAACAAGCATATGCTACAATAAACTATCTAGGTTTTGTGACATAGAAACTTAGGTACCACTCTCTCATGGGTAGCATGGATTTGAAATTCTGTCGTTGTTGAGAGATGGTAAAATTCAATATTTTGATGGAATATCAGATCCTCGCACGATTAATTTTCGTTGATTGTCTCGATTTTCTGGAAAAAAAAAACTAGGCAAGTCATACAAACTGCAGTCATAACAGGTCCTTAGTTGGAAAAACGCTGTAGTCAGTTTCGTCACTATCTTATCAAAACCTTGTGCTTTTTAAAAACTGTATTTCTCTGAAAGGGGAATGATCAGTTAGTTCCAGTGTTTAGACAAAATGTCCCTCTTTGCACCTAAGGACATTTCTCCACCTTCTGAAGTCTAATAAGGTTAAATAAATTAGGACACACAAACTAGTTTTATTCATTTATCTATATAAAATCAAATATCCGATTTCAGGAGATCTGTTCTCTCTAAACAATTCAGTGCAATTCGAACTGTAAATCAATTTGCCAATATCCGTTTAGTGACGCGAGGCAAAGCAACCTGATCTAAATGTAACATGACAAAATAATGTTGTGTAATTCAGTGGTTTTACTCCTGGGATTAACCTAAAACCATCAAAATTGATGTCAGTCATTAACAAATTCCGAGTTTTATGTTTTTAGACAATGAGAGCGGTTGATTCCAGTCGAAATCAGATAAACTCCATTCATTATCCATTAGTTAGTTTTTATGTTCTTGTATCTGTGTTTGAAAGACAACCAACATTTTAAGCAATAACACATTATACGTGTGTAATTACAGATAACAATCATCTTATTTTATAAGCTACTTTCAATGACGTTTTAAAACACTATCTATTCCCAGCGCCACATAGTGTAAAACTTATGGAAATGCTTAAAATTGGCGGCACACTGGGGGTTGTATTAAAAAGAATCACGTAGTACGGAGACGTTTCCAATGATACCCAGTGACCAAACTTCAGAGAAAACTCGCCCGGAGGATTTTGTTCTGAGGTCCCAGTAAGGAATACAAGAAATAGAGGAAATGGAAAATATTAGCTAGAGGTCATGGGAGCTACGTGGAGTACATTAGGAGATTTTACCATTTTATGGATGCTTTGGAAATCATGTCCTATATATAAATCTTGTTCTGTTATGTATAAACCGCTATGTGTACACAGGTTTTTTCTATCGATAAACTGAAAAAATGTTCAGGCCATTCTTTAATTGTTGACGTGCCAATCGAACGCACGACTTCTATTTTTGTTAATGTGAAAAAGCTACAATTTTGAAACTAATTGGTAGCGACGTTGATGACGTACAGTCTTTTTTATGAAGTTAATTATTATTCCAATAGGACAAACGAGTCTTTACGTCTGATGCAGCTTGGTATTCGAATGTTATGCTGACTGAAGCGATCGAGTTCGTTATGGCGGAATCGACAACTGCTTACATCTGATTTATTACACGTCGTGTATTCAACTATTCCTGATACCAATTCATTCAATAGCTATCGATGATTTCATGCCAAAGATCAATCAATCTGTCTAAAGTGCATCACGACTTTTCTATTTTCAGTTGAGAAGTCAAGGTCGTGGTGAACTATTGGTATCATTATGTTACCAGCCAGCAGCCAACAGATTAGGTGTTGTCATATTGAAAGCGAGAAATCTACCCAAGATGGATATATCAGGTCTCTCAGGTATATATCACTGTTTTCAAATATTCTATATCAATCAGTGTTGATGAAAAAAACTTTAATGGGACAGTTTCGCCATTCGTTTAGTAACTTAGTCTCAAAAACGGGATTTTTCTTTCGCTTAGCTATAATCAGTAATAGTGTTCACAGCTCACTGTTGATATTTGAGCCTTCAAATTCATGTGTGTCCAGAATAATTCGCGTTCGAAAATTAAAACGACGACTCGTCTTTTCTTGATAGAAAGTAATAGAAAGTGAAATTCCATTTCTGTACATTTCTAGTACTTCTGAAGACCATTTACATATATTCAAGACCCAAATAAACGCCTCAAAAATAGCGAATCTATCTCTTTAAATCAAGAAGATAATCAGGATTATGTTCCAGTACGTTGTTATATTTGTAGTACAATGTTATGCTAGTAGTTGCGTCAAATGAGGTCAATTTTTTCTTGGCGAAATCAAATGCGAGATGAATCTAATTTCTCAAACATTTACTAAACTTGTTATCTCCCCCTTCTTTCCAAGCAGAATAAGCTGTAATATCATGGAAATCCAATCTTTAACGCCACAACGATGTCTGCCAAAAATGTGCAACAAAGTTACTGTTTAAATCTATAGAAATTGGTGTATCATTTGCAAGCACAAAATATTTTTAAGAATGCGGTTATTTGCCCTTATGGCGTAAATAATAAGACTTTTACATCAAAATGATGATTTGGTAGAGATCTTTTATTTTGTAATGTTCCTTTGAAGTCGGTTGAAGTGAAAAAGTAGATTACAAGAGAAAAGGTTGGAAAGGTGAAACTGACACGAATATTGGTTATAAAAACATGCTAGTTCGTTAGAACAGTTTTACTGATAATGTCAATGTAAACCCCTTCAAAGAAACCCTCTTGTCAGATTTTCAATAACGTTACCATGACAACCGAGAAAAAAAAATAATCAATGAACAAATTGTGTAACACTAATTTCCACGTAAGAAGTTTATTTTAGAAAATGAAAAAAGGCTTCAAGTCGATTTTTGTACATTATTCGTTTTTAACTACAAAGACTAATCTATTCGAAGAATGGAAACTATTAAAATCTATACTAATTTTTCATTTGGTGCTAACAAACACGGAAGTCATCATCTATATGGAAAGAAAGATGGGGAACAGTTTGCACCACGATGAGACCCATTATCGTGGTCAGTCTCGTTAAATATAATATCAAGATACAGGATGTCTGGTTTCAGGCTATGTTCTAATTGTTTATGTCTGCGTACTGGTTCTGACAGTAATGATTTGTCAGAAATAAAGACCTTAAGCCAGGCTGATATTAACTCACCTCTCAGTAGGTACTTTTCGTTTCGAGCAAAATAAAGATTTTGTTCAATCATGATAAATGTATATCGAGCAATTTGATTTTCGTTAAATAAACGAACTATTGCATTAATTTTTCCGCAAACGGTTGTTAATAGCCAGAGAAAAGGAACATAAATGTTTGCGCTACCATCAGCCAGTGGAGGTGCCCTCACACCATATTGATAAGTTGCGAATAGTTGAGAATGATAAAAGTGGCCATGAGTATCGAACTCAACTCAAAACTATGTTGCATGAAGGCTACGTTCGAAAACTATGACCGCTATTGTTATTCGCATCCATACGAAACTGGTGGTTGCTGTGGTGTAGGACCCTTAATGGACTTACGATGCCGTCGTTCATGTGGCCATTGATCTTTACGGTGCACAGGACGGAGCAAATGATGAATGCATGGTTCTTGTAGTGAGACTTCTTAACCACCATCAAAATTGATATGTCTTTATTACGATATAACTATTTCATTTACCATTCTCGCCAATGAAAAACTCAGAACAATCCCTATCCAAAATGTATGAATGGGGTTTTTAATACATTCTGGTGGCCACCTTTGTGATAAAAGTACAAAATATGCAAATGGCAAAATGATATGCTTACTCTTCTAAACTCCTGATACCACTTTTCATTATGAAACACTTACTCGCTTATGATTGATATACTTCCTCATGTGAAAAGTTCATTAGCTGCTACCAATGTTTCGCCAAAATGTTGTTTTGGATTTCGGGTTTCGTTTTGCGGCACGGATTGTTAGTACTTGGTTTATTTATCTTCAACTGCCAATTAACCCAGATTTTATTCGCGGCAACTGCAAACATAATGCAACGCAATTACACGAGGTTAATCCAATAACAGATCGAATCAATCCGAAGTGGCCTGAAACCGTGAAATTGGATGATAAAAATAGTTAACAAGATTAAACTTGTTTAGAATTTATGACGAGATTGCTTCCACTACCTCAGGAATATTTCAGAAATGTCAAGAAAATGTTCATCAAATGTCACTGAATACTAATACCTTGTCTAGCGGCTAAAAAGGATGATTTATTATTGAAATACGCCATTTTGTTAACGATATTCAGAAACCATAATATTGCGTATTTCCATTAGTTTAGGTGAAACACACCAAGGTGGAAATGTGGATGCACATTGGCATCGTCAGTGAACACTAATACCTTGTCTAGTAGCTAAAAAGGATGATTTATTATTGAAATATGTCATATATTTGGCAATATTCAGACATCATAATATTCTTTATAGTTTAGGTGAAATGCAAGAAGGTGGAAATATAGACGTATAATATCATCGTAATATTGAGTCCGTCGATCTTTGTGATGCACAAGGCGTATGCCTGTATCGACGATGAACGCATTGCATATGCCAATCTGAAAACACATGACAATCAATATAAGCTTGCTATTTTCTAGCATAATCCGATCAATGTGTGGAAGGGTAGCTATTGATAAAACAGTCCGAGTGAAAATGTGGATTGTAACGATATGCAGTATGTTCGAGTGTCATAAACATCTGTTGAATGTTCGGGGGTTTTCAACCTGCTTCCTTCTATTACCCCATACAAATTGCATTACCTCTTTTCCCCCCTTTTACGTGTAATAATTAGGTTCAGTGAAATAAATTTGCTTTTTCTGTATTTTCAGATCCATACATCAAAATCTACTTGAATTACAATGGTCAGAGAATCGCCAAGAAGAAGACACACGTGAAAAAGAGGACGTTAAACCCCGTGTTTAACGAATCCTTCCTATTCGACGTGCCCTACAATGAGGGACTTCAAAACATCAGTCTCGAATTCTTAGTATTAGATTGGGATCGCATGACGAAAAATGAAGTTGTTGGTCGATTGGAGATCGGATCAAAGACAGGACCAACGGAAGTATCTCACTGGAATGAAGTGATGAATTGTCCTCGAAAGCAGATTGCAGAATGGCACAAATTAAGAGAGTGATTGAATAGGACGAGTTTTGATCAATATTGTACAGAGTTATCGGTCTTTCCAATTTACTAGCTTCAAACGTATCTCAAGGACATTTCAACAGTTGCGCAATTTAATATCGTCAATATAATATCAAATTTTGTTGTCATAAAAAATGATCAGGCTGAGATAATAACAATAATGAATTAACAGCAAGCTCTATATTTTAAAAGCAAGCTCTATATTGTAAAAGCAAGCTCTATATTTCACATGAGTAATAACTGGTTATGTTTAAATTTCATTTCATCGTCATGTTTTGTTAAGAAGGTATGACGTCAGAATACTAATATAAAGTGGTTATTGCATCTTTTAGTTGTCATTACAATGTCATCAATGTATTCAAATCGAAGCTTCTCTGAGTTATCCGAGGTCCGGATATATACACGAAAAAAAATTTGAGACCAAGATGATCGATGCTCTCTGTATACCATTTTCCAATATTGCATATTTAAATCAATTAAAAGCTTTCTGGGCCCAAACAACAGTTTAATCGCGTACCGTTTTCATATTCGTATATTATTATCCATTTATTTGGAGTAGGCAACTGATCTGACGTCATTGTAATGACGATTACATATAACTTGCGTCTGTCTTCAGAGTAATCGTACGAAAATTTCACAAACACTTTTCATAAATGAATATTGAAGTTTCAATCTGTGTAAAACCGCTCATTGCGTTTGAAAATATTCACGAAATCAGACACGGTTCAAGGGAGATAATTTCATATTTGCACTTCGCCTGACAAAGGCAACCAGTGCATAATGTGTTTTTGGCTAGCTAATAACGTAACATAAATCGAAATAGTCATGTACTGTCATAAAAACAAATGAAAATGTATTAGAATTACGAAGGATTGAAAGTGTTGGGTTTAAATTGACAGTCACGAAATAGAGGAAACAGTGAAAACTATTCTCATGTGTAATTCAGTCACGAATAGCGTCATTTTGTTAAGGGATCAATCTGAAGCCCGATGTGTTAACTACGTCAAGAATTTAACTAAGTTCGATTTAGTTTACGCTTTTAAGATTTAGCATGACAATGTGCAAGGAATTTGAACGTCAGAAATTCAATAAATCACAATCAATCTTGGCTCTAATATTTTGACGGGTTGGAAAAAAAAATATTTCGGTTGAGCGTTCAAGTATACTTATCTTATCTTATATAAACGTAAATAGCCTAATTATTAAAAAATAATGTATATTTTATCATTATTATGTTATCCATTAACCATTTATTGTTTCCCGTTATTACCTTTCGTTAAAGTATTTTGTTTCAGTAATTTTTTGTCGTGATAAATGAACGAAACAACCCACCGTAATGTAAATAGTTAAAAGAAACGCCAGGCCATATTAGATGAAATTAAAGCTGATAGATCTTCAACAAATTCCAATCTGAGGCCCATTGTAACTTGCGTAATTCCAAAATGCGTAAAATATCTGTCAACAATAACACAACTCATAAGTAGGGTTATCAAAGGGTTATGGGTGGCATCCTTGACATCACGCCCCTCAGTTTTTAATACTTAATATGGCTTGGTAGTTTCTTTAAATTGCTTTGTATATAGGCTTACGTACAAATTGTGTCCTTATGTAAATCAAAGATGGATGTATAATCAACATTACTTTATCTACTCAACACCATTTTGGACTCTCTGAAAGAAGCAAAGTGATTCTTATTTTTTTTTTGCATGAAGTTCTACCAGTATATCGGAAAGTTAAACTCTGTTATCCCGAATAGGATTTCATATAAGAAACATGCCTCGCTAGCAGGAGAGAAGTTTTTGTCATTAGTTTCAAGAAATGCCTTAGAAATAAATCAGCTACAAAAGCATTTGGTTTCAATTATTCCGATCTAATGATATTGCTTTGATAATGTACAATAGTAGACCGGTGTTGTTATTATGTACAAAGGGATTGTGAAGAGGTTATCTAAAAAATTTATGTGTATCGGGGACACTGATAGCATCAATTTGCACCATTTCCAATTTTCAATCAGACGTCTGCGGTTCCTACAATTTCACTAAAACTAAGTGTTTGATAACGTCACTGATCACGAATAAGGGTCTTTTGTGATAAGCATAATTAATTTGCAATTAGTGACGCCATCAAACACTTCTTTTTTGTGGACTTACGGGAATCACAGACGTATGAAATTGGAATGGTGCAAATCAGTGTTCCCGATACACAACTTTTATTTTTTTTTTTACAAAACATCTTTACAAGCCCTTTAACCTTTGTAGATTATGTTACGCCTTTGTAACGTCGTTGTTGTAAATTGCCCTATATAATAAGGTCACAGTGTATATATATAAAAAAAATATGTAACTGTAATGTAATGATGAAGCATAACAGACGTTTAAAATGAGTCATGGAAATTCTACAGTCACTTTCAAAATATTTTGACAATTTGTTGGTATCGAAGCATTGCATGTATATCTTGCTAAAGTTTTGTTGAACCAATTATGAAACGTAGCAATTTAGAAGAATACAAGATTTTGCGATTTCTGGCAAAATAACGCAGGCTACCACATTTAATTAGGTTTGCAATTTCTGTGTCGTATGTTGTATTGATAGGGTTAAACGAAAGTGGCCTACTTCGTGTACACTTGGGCCAATTTATCGAGAAATACAATTGAATTTATTAAAAAGTACTATACAGCATTCTGAGAAAATCAAACAAAATATTTTGGCTTTTGAGTTCACAAATCAAAACCGTATCCTACTTAAATTGTATATATTGTATATAATAGATGTTAGTGCATATTAAATATTGTACTAGTGAACCAGAATTTGTTCTGGTCAGCTAGATCAATGATTTGACATCTGGGATGTTCCAGATGTCAGAAGTTTTTGGGTTGTATTAGGTGTTATAATAGATACTCTCTTACAGGAGCACTGGTTGTAGTTGTTTGAAACTAGATTTTACTTACCAGGAAATCGATTAAAACCGTCTGAACAAGTAGAAATATTGTTGGTTTATGTAAATGACACGAGTGTTCTTGTTTTATTTTTCTGGCTAGAAAAATGATGAAGCGCTTATCTATACAAATCAACCAGTGGCTAGTGAAATGATGAAGCGCATCTATATAAAAACCAACCATTTAAAAATGATGAAGCTCATCTACACAAAACGACAGGGTTTTTTTTCTGGCTAGAAAAATGATGAAGCGCTTATCTATACAAATCGACCAGTGGCTAGTGAAATGATAAAGCGCATATCAATTTGGAAACAAAATTGTTAACAATTAGGGGGGAATCGGCAGTCCAGTATTCTGTTAAAATTGTTTTATGAATTTTCTTCTGAGCAAACGTTTTTATTGGACAGCTGAACAGCAGCCAGTGCTGTTCAATGGTGGCCAAATCTAATTAACCTGATGATGTACTTAATATGTTCTCATGTGAGCAGATCTTAGACTTTCAGGAGAATAAGAATCTGGTTGTTTTTCTCATTTATTGTGTTATTATTATCGTTATTGTTTTCCCATTATTGTTTTATTACCGGCATCATGATGTCTATTTAGTAAAAACCAATTTATAATTTTTATGTCATTATTTAATTAATTAAGAAAAATGAAGTTCAATAAATCCGTTGGTTGGTATCTTAGGATGGGCACAGGTCGACTAGCAATTGATCGATTCTCATATTGGAAGGATTGACTGATAACTGGGTTAAACGTGATGGTTGAAGTGCCGACCACTCGAGTCGATTGAGGGATTTGAACTTTCAATAGGAAAAAGGACATCAGAAACTGAGGGGAACTTGTTCCAATTGTATTGTTCAGTCGTCTGTGCACTCGGGTAGACCAAATCAAGCGGTATACATCAGATGACACCAGATGCTGCAAATCTTGCAGTCAAGCTGAGCTCTCATTTCATTTATCTGATTTTGAGAGCTATGGCCTGAGAATTTTTTTTTTTGTAAATTATGGTGACTAAATTACCTTATGTACGATTGTACTTCTGAATTTGAGAAACATCTTAAACCAAAGAAACCACTAAACTTTAGGATATCAGTAATTCGTCTTGCTTCTTTCAATGTTAAAGCACTAATCTAAAAAGAGTTGATACATAGTTTACACGTTCAAATTGAAAGAGCGAAACCATGCCTATATGGAATACGTTCGGGGCTGTAAATTAGTTTTATGTTATGAAAGAAGTGGATGCCCGGGGATTTCTTGGCATTTATTTTCACACGTGTTGTTTTAGGCAGTCTGGCGTTAGATAATTTACAGCCCTGACGTAAATCATTATTTATTGTTTGATTGTAAACCTATAAAATTCTGTGTCCTGTGTTCTGGTAAATATTAATGTACTCTGTAACAGTCGTTTAACCAAGAAAGAATAAACAAATAATTTTCTATAATGTGTTCTATCATTTTATAAAACCCATTCACATTCATAATATTTTAAATTTGCCATGGGTGAGGATTAACAACTGGCCTAAAATAGTGATTCATAACGTAAACCTATATTTTGAATACTTTATTACGTATACAGTCATACTTGTATTAATCATGAGGTCAAAGGGAATGCTGAAAAGTGGTTGCTTACTATTTGCATGAATATATTTTATCGAGATCAGTAGACAACCAAAGAAAGAATTGTAAGTGAAATCTGACATTAATTTGCATTCTGGCGTAAAGGATGCTATGTAAGTGACAGTGAATAGTAAGTGAAACTATATGACTATGAATAATAATTTATTAGTCGTCAATTAAATGATTGTAGTCTGTATATTAACCAAAATTATCTCCCTTGAAATAACAATAATTCTATTCGGTCTTAAGAGTAATTACCGAAGGAACTTACCTTGAAACCTCAACCATGAAACTGTGTTAAAAGGTACAAACAAAGGGATATCATAAAGAATTTTAAAAAATCAAAAAATCGGAAGGTAAGAATTTCATCTAACTTAAAACAATTATAATTTCGTCGCCGAAAACCGATGTTAACCGAATGTCAAATATGGCTGACGAAAACAAGGATTATTTTCCTTCTATGGTTAAGGTACGGTAGGCATATGGTTTTCATATTTGTCCAGTAACGAGGGTAAATACTCTCAGATTACACTGTAGCATGAATTAGGCCTACTATAGTTTATTTACGACAAGTAGATCTTTTGACCAGTCGAATAAAAATGGTATTTGGGTACCTGCCTTTAAGTGTAGTTACGAAAAAAAAAGAAAACAACAACAAACATAGTGGTACATCCAAACACTAGACTAGGATTTTGATTGGCTTCTAAATTTTCTTAAGAAAAGAAAGATTTTATTTCGAATTGCTCTTGCACTTTTCGTTTTAATTCTTTCATTACTTTTCATTTCATTTAATTTATTCTTACGTTACAGAACGAGTATGATCGTTACAGAACGAGTATGATCGTTACAGAACGAGTATGATCGTTACAGAACGAGTATGATCGTTACAGAACGAGTATGATCGTTACAGAACGAGTATGATCGGGTGATGTCAAGTAAAGGTAAAACCCTATCATGGATTCAGTACAGTTATGACTCCACCTCAGGCTCCCATTTGGTGATAGAATATATTTAAAGGAAATATTTCCAGTAAAGAACAAGAGACTGGGCAATGAAGAGCATCCTTCACTAAATTAGAATCATCTTTACCGGTAGGTTCACCTTTGAACTCAACTAACCTTCTTGAATTTGTACCTTGACCAGTCTTTTAGACCTCAACTAGATAGGTTACATCTATTAACAAAAGTTTCAGATAGTCAAAAGAGACATTTAGATTAAATATTACACTAAACGAATAATTATTACATTAGGTAAAAAGTCAAGAAATGGCTTGCTCACATAATAAATGTCATTGTATTCAATCATATACAATTATAATTATATTCAATCAATTTGCAACTCTAAACACTGAAACCTGATTATCATATCATTGTAATACCATCAGCATAATTTATTAGGTAAATTCAACAGACTAAAAAGGCTACTCAGGTAGACAAGTTGATCTGAATTATTTATCACGAAAAATCGTCGAGCCAAACGAATTCAAACGTTGAACTTTTCATTTGCTAAATGAACTATTAAATTTGGCACATCAGAAGATCAACGTGTGAATAAGGCCTAAAAATACTACAGAGAATCTTAGATTGCATTTGGGGTTGATGAAAATGTTAACCACTGGAAAAGTTTTTGTTAAAACATGTGGGAAATTTTCTGATAAAAAAGTAGGTAATTTTCACTTTCATTTCTGGGAGGGAAGTGTGTCTATTTTAAATTTAAAATCACTGAACCTTATATTTCTATGGACCCAAAAACATTCTAAGACACATGGCGTACAGCTGAATATTTTATTTTGGTAATTTATGAAATAAGATAAAAAGTTCGATTCGATAACAACATTCTAGTCCCGAAGTTGATACGAATGATCTATGTACTATATTATCTATTATAGATCTTGTCAACAAGACAACCAATTTTTGGGTACCTCAATTTTCGAACTGGTAAAACTATTTACATATAAAATCAAGGCCTAGATCAACCTCAGAGAATGGTAAACCATGACTTTTAGAAAGATTTTGAAATGAAAGAAGAAATTCAATTCTGCTCTCGTTGTGAACACAGAGTAAGACACTATTCTATTTTCAGATATTTTAATTCACATTAAATACCCCTTCTTTGACATGCATGATAAAAAGGTAAAAATAACAGTTTCACCATAACCCATAGTCCAAAAGAAAATTAATGATTGCTACTATCTGAGCAAAGTGAATATTTTTTTTGAATTTTTTCTTTTGTTTTTATGAGAATTGGAATAGCAGCCCCAAAATAGTATTGTTATTCCAATTCTCATAAAAATAATGGATAAAATTTAAAAAAAAACTTTTACTTTGTTCTGACAATAAATCAATGTTTCCCACGGGCTGAAAGTTAGACAGAGGGCCATGTTAATGGGCTTAAGTTTATTGAAGCTAATTTGGATCCATATAACATTCAAAGTTTATTATTGTAATTGATATGTTTGAATGTTTTCTTTTTAGCATCATCATGAATATTTTGCGGGAAAGTATGAAACTTGTTTTCAGTTTTCAACCTATGAAGATAGTACTGGTTATTAACTTCATCTTAACTTCCTATTATTTATTGTGTAAGTGTTAAGCTCAAACTTTTTCATCAGTACCATTGACTTCAAGTTATTTGAGGCATTTTTGATCGTGTATGGGTAATATTGACGATATTGATGTCCATATAATGAAGGAGCTGTTTTCAGCGAATATTTTTAGCGCAAAACATCAACAAATTTGAGCATGTGTGGAACCCCATCAATATTTTGTTCAAACTTCACTTTAAGATTTGAGTGTAATGGTGCCATCCAAGAAGGAGAAAGAATTCCTTATAGCACTGATAGATCTGGTGAATTTCTTCTTCTAATTTAAAATGATCCACAGCATTGAGTAGAGTAGAGTCAAGCTTATTATCTAACAATGTTGTCAAATCATGATTTATTTTCAGTCTTTTAGAGCAAGAAAGGATATTTCTTTTCCATTGTTAAAAAAAATTGATCTATTTTTTATATAATTTTTTTTTCAATATCCAGATGTTTATTGGAGGTTTTATCCTAATGATTGGAATAAAAGAAAATCTATGGTAAGAGAAATTTATGCTGGTGTTATGTATGTCCATGGTGTTAAGCAACAATATGATGAGATTGATGCAATTTTGCTCTTAAACTCTTAACAGATACATTTTTTTCAATGAAACTTAGCGTATGTACGCATATAATCATAAAAAGGAGGAACTCTTTGCAATGATTAAAAACAGTGGCCTTGCTACTTTCAAATATTTCTTTATGTATCGTATATTCCTGAATGTAATGTACAAGCATGTATAATACGCACCCTTTATCATCTCCAGTATATCTGGGAAAATTTCTGTCACCGTAAATAATGCACACCACTTCCTGTCGAAAGCATCAACAAGTTGGCAAAACGCAGACACTATAACAGTGAGTGATGTTATTGCGTTTTCACCTAATCAGACCTACTTGTAAACTTGATGTACAAACTTAACTTGTATATTAATCCAAATTTGAATAACTTCCTGGAATATTTGTCTTGTATTGTATTATAAAGTATTGATACACTACCATAGGATACAATGCATTTTTGCTGCATGTTGTATTGCAATGTATTATTACAATGATGTATCATGCCAGCACTAGTAGACTTTAAATCAGTGCTTAGTCCAACTTAAAATATAATGATCCTTTAGATTCTGAATTGGGTATGAGTATTGCCCATCTTCATTTCATTTTCTGTTTTTCAGACCTTAAGCGTATCACAGAGTCATGAATTAGAAAAACTTCATAAATTATATGGTGACCCAGCAGTATCATCTGAAATAACAATTGTTACAGCTTATTTTAATCTCGGATCTTTTGCTAAAGGACGTCATCAACAATACACACCATCTAAATATAAAAGATGGATGTCAGTTTTTGGGAGATTGCAAAACCCTTTGATTGTGTTTACTGATTCTGCAGACACTGTAGATACTTTTAAAATAATACGTGAAAAATTCCCAATTAATGACACAAAGATTTTTCTTGTTAAGAGAGAATCTCTTTGGTCGTTTTCTATAGCAAATCAAATAAAAAACATCTTTAATCAGCCTGATTATCCTGAAATTTTTCCAAATACTGTCAATGAAAATTATTCGTGTGTGATGCACGCTAAATTTGAGCTAGTCAATAAAGTCATCAATGAAAATTTAATAAAAACCAAATTTGTCAGCTGGCTTGATATTGGGCTTTACAGACATTTTGTGGAAGAAAGTCACAATTTTCGTATCAGATTACCACAAAATTTTGACATATCTAAAGTAGCTTATAGTCAGGTGAAGGAATTTGACAGTTCCTTGAAACCCATGGAGGTTGTTAGTGGTAATTTAGTATGGGTAGGCGGAGCTATGTTTATGGGAAAATATGACACGATGTATTTATATACTCAAGATTACATGGAGAGCGTGAAAAAGTTGCTGTCAATCAAAGTGATGAGCACTGATCAGCAAGTAATTTATTCAATGTACCTTCCCAGTTTTAAATTCCGTCCTCGTGTTGAACTGCAGATGTACACAACTCATTCTGGTGATGATTGGTTTTATTTAGGGTATATAGTGAAGGATTGGTGGGAAAGACACTCCATAAGAGAACCATTATCATTGTTGAATTTTTGTTTTAAACTTTTATGATTCCTTAATCACATTGTTGCAGTCCAGGAAAGATCCAATTCCAAACATACAACGTCTGTATTATACTTGAACTTCAAAAATTACAAATTTTGTTTATGTTTGGAATTGCTTAATTTAAGCTTATTCTTGTTTGTATGCTTATTATTATGTGTCTTTCTTATTTGTCATTTTAGCTGTATTTCTTCTTTCAAGAGATTCGAAGGAGCTTGTCTTTGTATCTGGGACATATTTTTTTTAACTATTCATATTTTTAATATCATAAAGTAATCAGTAATCTGGATTTACAGGAACCACAGCCATTGTTTTTGGTTTCAAGGAGCCTTAAATTAATTTATTTGTAAAATTGAAAGGAAGAAACAAATATATTTTTCCGGCTAGTTCCTTGGCCAAACCTCTTGCCATCGATCACTCTGAATTATCTGTAAAAGGATCCTTATCAAAATAAGAGATCTTACTTGTCAGATGTTTATATTAAATAGATTCTTATCAAAATCATGATGTTACTAGTCTGAGGTTTATATTAAATAAGTTTTTATCAAAATCAAGATATTACTAGTCTGAGGATTATATTAAATAGGTTCATATCAAAATGAAGGTGTTACTAGTGGGATGTTTATATTAAATAGGTTCTTGTGAAAATGAAGATGTTACTAGTCTGAGGTTTATATTAAATAGATTCTTATCAAAATCAAGATATTACTAGTCTGAGGTTCATATTAAATAGGTTCATATAAAAATGAAGATGTTACTAGTCGGATGTTTATATTAAATAGGTTCTTATGAAAATGAAGATGTTACTAGTCTGATGTTTATATTAAATAGGTTTTTATCAAAATGAAGATGTTACTAGTCGGATGGTTATATTAAATAGGTTCTTATCAAAATGAAGATGTTACTAGTCGGATTTTTATATTAAATAGGTTCTTATCAAAATGAAGATGTTACTAGTGTGATGTTTATATTAAATAGGTTCTTATCAAAAAGAAGATGTTACTAGTCAGATGTTCATATTAAATAGGTTCTTATCAAAATGAAAATGTTACTAGTGTGATGTTTATATTAAATAGGTTCTTATCAAAATGAAGATGTTACTAGTTGGATGTTCATATTAAATAGGTTCTTATCAAAATGAAGATGTTACTATCGGATGTTTATATTAAATAGGTTCTTATCAAAATGAAGATATTACTAGTCGGATGTGTATATTAAATAGGTTCTTATAAAACTGAAGATGCTACTATTGTGATGTTTATATTAAATAGGTTATCAAAATCAAGATGTTACTATTCGGATGTTCATATTAAATAGGTTCTTATCAAAATCAAGATGTTACTAGTCTGATATTTAGAGTAAATAGGTTCTTATCAAAATGAAGATATTACTAGTCGGATGTGTATACTAAATAGGTTCTTATAAAAATGAAGATGCTACTAGTTGGATGTTTATATTAAATAGGTTCTTATCAAAATGAAGATACTAATAGTCGGATGTTTATATTAAATAGGTTCTTATCAAAATCAAGATGTTACTAGTCGGATTTTTATATTAAATATGTTCTTATCAAAATGAAGGTGTTACTAGTCGGATGTTTATATTAAATAGGTTCTTATCAAAATGAAGATGTTACTAGTCGGATGTTTATAGTAAATAGATTCTAATCAAAATGAAGATGTTACTATCGGATGTTTATATTAAATAGGTTCTTATCAAAATGAAGATATTACTAGTCGGATGTGTATATTAAATAGGTTCTTATCAAAATGAAGATGCTACTATTGTGATGTTTATATTAAATAGGTTATCAAAATGAAGATGTTACTAGTCGGATGTTCATATTAAATAGGTTCTTATCAAAATGAAGATACTAATAGTCGGATGTTTATATTAAATAGGTTCTTATCAAAATGAAGATGTTACTAGTCGGATGTTTATAGTAAATAGATTCTAATCAAAATGAAGATGTTACTATCGGATGTTTATATTAAATAGGTTCTTATCAAAATGAAGATATTACTAGTCGGATGTGTATATTAAATAGGTTCTTATCAAACTGAAGATGCTACTATTGTGATGTTTATATTAAATAGGTTATCAAAATCAAGATGTTACTAGTCGGATGTTCATATTAAATAGGTTCTTATCAAAATGAAGATACTAATAGTCGGATGTTTATATTAAATAGGTTCTTATCAAAATCAAGATGTTACTAGTCGGATGTTTATAGTAAATAGGTTCATATTTTTTTCTCAAAATGTTTATAATAGAAATAACTGTATAACAGATCTTTATGCAGAAGTACATTGTCACGAATATATATGTACTTGAAAAATCATCCACATGCTGTGGATAGCTGAAATCCAATTTTGTCAGTTGATGAATCCAAAATTTAGATATCTTTATCCCTTTAGAATGGGCTTATACAAAAAATATTTTATAGTATTGTGCATATAATTTATGGAAATCAGTGGAGGAAAATTTTTTGGACAAAGAGCCAGAGGGTTATAACTTCTTCCTTTCCAACTGATCTAAATTTCAGCTATCAGTATCTTGTAGTAGATAGTCTATTCCTTGACATTTAAAACGTACACTGTAAGTTTAGAATGTTTGTTAACGTTCTTGAGTTCTCTGCACTTGTTCACATAAGTGACGATAGTCCAGACTTATAAGAAAGGTTTTTGCCAAATCCCAATTGTGCATATTTTGTGTCTCAAATTGCAACTCAGTGCCTCTACGCGTAGACTATTAAGCAATATTCAGCTAATATTTATGGGGATATATCTATTTAATATTTAATTTATTTTTACCATATTTTATAAATCATCAAATTTTTTGTGAATAAAGTGCTATTGTCAGTGTGTGATTAAATATATTTATGTTATTAAAATGTTTTAGTGTAGGCTAGTTTGTGTAATGTGTTGATTTGCGTAACGTCATGTCCTTTCTCTGGCAAAAACCAGTCCGTCGTCAAGTTTGTCAACTTTTACTTTTGAGTTCAAGGGACTAGGATTTTCATTTGAAATTTGGTGTGATAATTTATACTTTAAGATATCGGACGAGTTTGAATCTGGCAATTATTCCTTGAACAATTTTGGAGCTATAGCCCTAGACTTAGTTACAAGGTAACATCTGTTTGTGAAGGCAATAGAGGCTACAAGTTTCAATCGATTTCGATGAAATGTGGTGTGAATGACATGATCCGATCCCGGACGAGGTCTAATCTTAACCCAATGAATAAGATCATTCATGAGTTCAAATCGGACGATCATTTGAAGAAAGTGATTTTGTGCAAACAACAGAATTTAAAAATTTGGTGTTAGGGTGTATTGAGACGAGTCTCAATGAAAGCACTGGCCTAGGTCACAGAGCAATAGATAAGTCTATTAATTATGTGAAAATTAGTTAGTCATTAGTATGATTTTAGTTGAAAAGACCAGACAAACATACACTGCATGTTATATAATATACTGTATTTGTGTACTGATTGAGATCGACAGGATCGTGGTTGAATTGTGATGTTTAATAGCATGTAGAACTAAAAGGTGTTTGGGTATTGTCAGAAAATCTTTCGTCTTCGTTTCGTTTGCTATTATTCATTTAATAATGTGCAAGAATTAAGTACAATCTAATCCACTTGAATATAAAATTATTAATATGATTTTCCCCATAAAATAAGATATTTGCAGTCCCATTTGTCATACTTCCTCGAAACCGTGGTTATACAAGTGAAAAAAAAATTACGTATTCATAAGTAAACATTGTCCAATCAAAATTGGCCCTTTTGTCTTGCTAGTAAAATATCAGCCAATCAAAATAAACCACTCGTTATGACGCTCTGAGTGCGAACGTAAAAAAATGAAAGCAGCGTGTCATTAAATGTTTTGATTTATGTGAATGTACAGAAGAGAGTAAGATTTTCGGTAATGAATTAAACTAAGATTCAGGTGTTCCATAAAACATCTTAACTAAGGTATACGATAAAAACAATCTTAGACGAATCTTAGTAGAAGGCTAACGTAGATTAAGATAATGTTCATCGCGCATGCGCTAATAAAATAATGTAATCATGGAACGTCAAAATCGCGTGCTTGTATAGGCGATATAATCGCAGCGTTATTAGAAATCTGGTGATACAAACAAAGTAAAATAATTCAAATTAAGGCCTTATTAATTCGAAATACTTTCAGAAAAGCAAAATGATGAGAGATATCGATTACCAAAGAAACTCATAACTTGCATTGTTGATCTGATAGAAAATTACTAACGAAATACCCCACCCCATCCCTTAAAAAACTACAAATGCATTGTTAAGGGTGGAGTTAATATGTCAGTGCAGAAAATTTTAGTCCCCTCTTCCATACATTCACAGAGTAAAACGTGCAATAACTTCGATTTAAACTAGGCCAGTTAGAGCACGACTAAGCGCCGCCCACTCGTGTCAAAATACATACAACAAAAAGATCAAGGAAATTGCCGGTATCATGTAAGAAGTTTATAAGCAATTTCTTGTCTTTTGGGGCTCGGTGTTTTAATCGGTTATAAACTGTGCTACATAATTTCATATTGCCTCATATTCTCCACCCGTCGACATTTATTCATGACTTATCTTATTTGTATATTGTGTCGTATCCTTTGAGTGGATCATCTTTGATGATGATGGCACTCGAGTATAATACATAAATAATGTTGCTCCGTTTGACAAAAAATAAAAAATAAATAAATGACAAAGCGACCACCACAAGAGGAATACAAAACAGGAGTTAAGTAATATTTTTTTATTGTTTTAAAAAGTCTAATTACAAATGGATTTTTGTAGGTTTAAGTGACATTAAGTTATTTAGCAAAGTGAGTGTGCTGACCTCCATGGAATTGACATATCTTCAGCATCAAGATCAATAGATAAGGTAACTAATGCTGTAAATAATAAATAAACATACACTTTCCTGTTCATGCAGATGAACTCAGTCAGACCAAAAAAAGCTTTTTCAATATTGTCCAGTTAC